TTTGAATTTCACCTTCAGTATGTAAACACAATCCCATCAAAGTAAATACTGAGACTGCTTTTTTCTTCTTCTTTTAAATGAGTCTGTGAAAGTTTTAGGTGAATGCAGTCTAAGCTCTCACATTATCGAAACAAAATGGTGGCCAGGGGGTTTATGATTTTCACAAGGTTACAGAGCTGGGCAATTGCAAAATTGACTGTTACAATTTAGGTCTCTGTACAGACTACGTAGTCTTATTTTCACTGCTTTCTCTGCTCCCCTTCTCCCCACATTGAATACTGCAGGCTTCAGAGTACCCCTTAGTAATGATTTGTTTCTCAAAGGCCATGGACAGTGCCCACTCTGGTCTCAGAGCCCTGAGGTCTAGCAGATTGTTTTTGTAGAATATTTATTCTAATGATAAGAAATATCCCAATGAAAATTTGTATTTCTTATGAAAGCACTTTAAAACTTCTCATGGTTCATGGACTCATTTGGCTCTCTAATAAATAAATAACTATTTCTATGCATATAGACATAAAATTGTACATACAATTTTAAGAACTCCATAGGTTCCAAGTTAAAGATCTCCTATTATATATAACTCTTGGGCCACTTTCAAAGATATGTGAACCAGGTTTTCTGGAAAGTGTTCAAATATTTCCTCATTCTCTCAAATGAATACCAATACATTTTGAAGGATTGAGTGGTAGTTCAGTTAACTTCCCATATGCCTCATAGACAGTTCACATCTGCTGATCCATTAGTCACTGAGGACTAATGTAGTGTCCATCTTGGTGACACAGTCTCTAGAGATTTAAAAAGCTGGTTGGTGGTACTGAATTAGAGAATTAGGAATTTATTATTGTATCTGTAGAAATTGTATTTCTCAACATTCTTAAAATTAATAACACAGTTAAATGTTATGTGAGCCCTGACAAAAAAAGAACTTTTCTCTCCTGATCAAAGTCAGGACAAAGAAAAGCCTGTTTTATTGGTGCTAATTATTTTTGCTCTATGTAGTTAAAAATAAAAGGGAGACAAGAAGATACAAACCACTGTCTTCATTTTCAACCCTTCCAAAGACAAAAATATGTGTTTGTGTATGTGTGTGTGGAGAGAGAGAGAGAGAGAGAGCAAGAGCGAGAGAGCACGCGCATATGCTGGGACTATAATGCAGAGTCCAGAGGAGGGGTAGGGCCTTACCCTGAATTCCTCTTTGGTCACGTGGAATAGAAACCACCTCTTCTCTGGTGCCAGCTTCTTCCTGGCCATGTCCTCCATTCTCTATTTATCTTTTGTTTCCATTCCCTTCCTTTCTTTACCATGGGGAAGCTTCTCTCAGACTAAACCCTTCCTGTTCAAGATAAATTTCTAGCATGAAAGATTTCTCTTATTCTATAGCCCCTCCTGCTCAGTCTGAATTTGATCTGGCCAATATGCCTCCTTTTCCTTATTCAGAAGTTTCTTTAAAATCATGTTTCTTCTATGGAGTGTCTAATGATAAATTGATACCTTTTGTCTTATCATTGCCTAAAACTATTATTTGTGTGCCCTCACCTCCTTCCTCCTCTGTAAACCGAAAGCCTCATGAGGACAGGGATCTTAGTCTCATTTGCCACTATATTCCTGTTACCCAGGACAGTGCCCAGTGCCTGGTTATGGCAGGTGCTCAATGAATATATGAATGAATGAATGAATGAACGAACGAACGAATAAATAAGTGAATATCCTTCTTATGAACTCTTCTAGAACACTGACAGTGTATGGTAGTGCCTGCAGATTTTTGTTAAATGATAGTCTGCTGGTTAGCCTGTCAGTCAGAGCCCCATCTCCTAGCATCTGAAGAGTACTGCCTGTGGTTCTCTGCTTTAGAATTTGCTGTGGTTACTCAGAAGCCACACAGAACCTTCTGTGCTCTAAGTACTTTGTCCAGTAGAGGAAGAGACTTAGCTGAGTAACTGAGAGATTTAGCTATTATAGAGCCAAGTGTCTGGTTCAAATCTCCCTGGTTGTATGGCTCAGGCAGTTAACGATCTTTTATGTGCCCCAGTTTATGCATCTGTTCATGGAGACTAGCAGTCGCACCTGTATTATAGGGTTGCTTAAGGATTAAATGAGTTTCTCTAGAGTTAGCTGGATAGTGGTGATGATGGTGGTGGGTAGGATTTCATCGATAATGTTGTAGGGTGAGTCTTTTTTTATTTTGTTTTTAATCTGATCATTCTATTTTATTATTTTTTCATTATTGCTTTCCTAAAATATAAGAATCTAGTCATCTCTTAGAAATATACTTACCATTTGAGATATTCACATTTAATAAATTTTTAAAAAGGTACTGTATTTTGTTGTGTGCCCATGCTTTTGTGTGCATTATACATGGGATTATTCTACCCATGGTATATAGTCATTATACCCATGTATAATGTGCATTCTTAGTTCGCCCTCAAAAATTTAGGCAAAAAAGTGCTCATTATACATGGCAAAATATAGTAGCTTAGTAAGAGATACAATTTGATTCATTGTAGTAGTTGTTTCCATTATTGTGTAAAGTTTATTTTCATGGGGACACTGAGTAGGTTTTTAATCCCCAGGGTCTGTGTAAAATAAATTTCTTGTATTTGGAGCATTTCTATAATACTGTTCTTCATATTTGAATCTTCATCACATTTTCTGGTGAAAGAGATATGTTATTACAAAATCACACTGAACTATCATCATGAAAGAGATTTTCTTGCAAGGTTATTTTCTTGAATTTTTAGATTAGTTTATGTATAACTTAATTGTGCTTCTCTGTCCTTTCTTTTTTTTAATATGGTGAATCCATAAATGCCAGATTCAAAGTTTTTGTCAGGAAGAATTATTTTTAGGTCAGTGTTAAGAACAGAGAGGGAGGAGAGGAGAAAATAAGAGAATAAAAATAAAAGTCTTTAATTATACTATACACACATAATTGATGACTTTTATAGTAATCTGTGTGTAGAGGGAAATACAAATAAAATTTAAGCATAATCAGTCTATCACCTAATTTTGTCTTTTTTTGGTTTTTGTTATCACTAAAATATTAATAACAGAAATACTATTCATAGTTTCCTAGTAGTGTAAAATTTTTCTTTTTCTCTTTTTTCCTTCTGCTTTTCTGTCCTAAAAAGGCACTTAGGGGGGAAAAGAACCTTAGACAGGATCTTAAAATGAAAAGAGATCATAAAAACAGTAGACAAGTTGTCTGAGAATTTTGTCATTTGTTTTTTAATGGGGCATGTGGATGATGGGTGTGTCCACGGAGGAACTTCTGTTCTGTGGGAATGACTTGGCTTACTTTCAGTCCATTGGAGCTCTCTGGCCTCCCCATGTCCAGGAACTTCCAGGTTTGGGAGTTGGTTCTTATGTTGGTGATGTCATTGCATTTTAATTCTAAATACACAAGTCATTTTTTTTTTACAAAAAGCTAAATATATGATTGGTATGAATAACAAAGGCTTTGGATCATATGGGTAATAACACTGGAAAATGACAGGTGTAGAAGAAAGAAATAAAGAGTACATTTTTTCTTTCTTATCTTGTTTATTTTTTTTTAATTTATTGTTGACACTATTACAGATGTCCCCCATTTACCCTTCTTTGCCCACTTCTACCCTGCCCTTTACCACACTACTGTCTGTGTCCATGGGCCATACATAATGTTCCTTGGTTCCCTTCACCTTCTTTCATCAGTCACTCCCCCATCCCCCTCCCCTCTGAGATCTGTCCGCCTGTTCCCTGTATCCATGCCTCTGTTTCTATTTTGTTAGTTGTTTATTAGATTCCGTTAGATGAGTGAGAGTAAGATCATATGACATTTGTCTTTCTCTGACTGGCTTATTTAAATTAAGATAATAAAGAGTACTTTTTAAAAAGCTGGTGAAGGAAATAGACACACAAGTCCAGGAAGCTCAGAGAATCCCAAATAAGTTGGACCCAAAGAGGAACACACCAAGACATCATAATTAAATTGCCAAAGATTAAAGATAAGGAGAGAATCTTAAAAGCAGCAAGAGAAAATAAGAAAGTTACCTACAAAGGAGTTCTCATAAGACTATCAGCTGATTTCTCAAAAGAAGCCTTGCAGGCAAGAAGGGGCTAGAAAGAAGTATTCAAAGTCATGAAAAGCAAGGACCTACAGCCAAGATTATTCTATCTGGCAAAGCTATCATTTAGAATGGAAAGGCAGCTGAAGTGCTTCCCAGATAAGGTCAAGTTGAAGGAGTTCAGCATCACCCAGCCCTTATTATATGAAATATTAAAGGGACTTATCTAAGAAAAAGAAGAGCACAACTATGAACAGTAAAATGAACAACAAACTCACAACTATCAACAACTGAACCTAAAAAACAAAAGCAAACTAAGCAAACAACCAGAACAGGAACAGAATCACAGAAATGGAGATCATATGGAGGGTAATTAGCGGAGAGGGGGAGGGAGGAGAATTGGGGGAAAGGTACAAGGAATAAGAAGCATAAATAGTTGGTACAAAATAGACAGAGGGAGTTGCACAGGAAATGTAGAAGCCAAAGAGCTTATATGTACGACCCATGGACATGAACTAAAGGGAGGAATGCTGGAGGGAATGGGGGTACTAGGTGGAGGGGGATAAGGGGAAGGAAGAAATGGGACAACTGTAATAGCATAATCAATAAAATATACTGAAAAAAAAAAGCAAGGTACTTGGCTTGGAAGAAGTGCAGAGATGCATCAAAGACCTAAAACAGATACCTTAAAAAAACTAAGTTATTTAAATAAAAGAATAAAAGGAAGAAGACAGTTAATGTACATAGTATATTTTGATCTTTTGATGGCCTGTCAATGTCATTTGTTGTGCTTATTTTTAGTTGAAAAGATGTTGGTTGCAGTCTGTGACTTCGCTGCATGGTGTGGTAGCAGTGGTCTCTGGTACTCAAATGCATGTCCTGACTTGTGTTGGGGGACTATTATTATGATTATCAGGAACCTTTCACAAAAACAGTCTTTCTTGTGATTTCCAGATTTTCACCTGATGGAAGACTGATTGTATCATGTAGTGAGGATAAAACTATTAAAATTTGGGATACCACAAGTAAGCAGTGTGTGAGTAACTTCACAGATTCTGTAGGGTAAGTCCATTCTATCTGTGCATTTGTATGAGGTAGTTTGCTAAGGATACATTTAATTATTACAGTTTAAATAAATCAAAATATGAGACCATCTTAATCTTTCCTCCTAGGTTTGCAAATTTTGTGGATTTTAACCCTAATGGTACTTGCATAGCTTCAGCAGGATCCGATCATACTGTGAAAATCTGGGATATAAGAGTGAACAAATTACTCCAGCATTATCAAGGTACAATTTATAACAGAAGGATTCAGTTGTAGAGTGGACTCCTCCGGGAAACTCTTAAACTGATAGACTGTCCTCAGTGTGGTTCGGCCCTCTTAATAAGAGTCATGGGCTACCTTTGAACTGACTAAAGAACAGTTAGCTTCCATCAACAACATGGTCTGAGAAGCTGGGGTAGAAGCCAGAATGGAGAGGAAGGTAGAAAGACCTTAAAAATGATGCCAGGACTGTAAAAAGTGAAAGAAAAAAAAGAAAAGTAATTACTGTGAGATTTTTAAACTCTGGTTATTTGGGATAGAAATTGGCACAAATACTTGTTATAACTGATAGAAAACAACACCCTACTGTGCCTATACTTTGAAGTTAAGAGAAATGAATCAATTTCTTGGTTTATATCAGATTTATGTTAAATCCACCTGTCTCTTAATAACTGTAATATTAACCATGTAGCTGACACTGCTGAATCCTCACAAAAGCCCTAAGAGGTGGCATTATTATTACCCCCATTTTAAAGATAAGGAATTTGAGGCTTAAAGAAGATAAGTGACTTGCTAAAAAGAATTGACAGAACTGTCTTGGGTCTGTTTACAAACTTTTCATCACTGTGTTATACTGCCTCCTATTGGTAGGATGGTGTCCAGAAATGAATTCTCAAACTGGCAAGACTGTGTCCTCCAAATACATATTCACACTCTTCACCCCTTAGCATCAAGCCACTAATTGATTATTAAATTTAGCTTAAGCTAGGTTGTATACTTTACATGAGTCGGTGGTAATCAACTATTGGCTATATTGGTAATGTATCCGAAGACTTTTTAGTTGTATGGTGAACAAGATCATATTTCCGTGACACATTCTCACTTTGAAAGCTATTCTCTTTCATTAACTGTGTGGTACCCAACTATTTATTTGTTTTGGTGTTGTGGAAACATTACCTCTAACTGATTGTTATTTTCAACTTAGTATGATAATAGGGCAGAGTGGTATCTTTAGAATTAAGAATTGTTCTCTAAAATTTTTGCTTTATTTTCTACAAATCAGTTCACAGCTGTGGAGTTAATTGTGTATCATTCCATCCTTCGGGTAACTATCTCATCACTGCTTCTTCAGATGCTACACTTAAGATTCTGGACCTACTAGAAGGAAGGCTCATATATACACTCCAAGGACATACGGTACCAGCACTAAGATTTTTGTTTTTTATAATTATATATATTTAAGGTTGTGATCCATTTTGTTATATGCCTTTATTATGTTTCCAAGTGTAGGACACATTACTGCTATCATAAGAAATATTTTTGCTTCCAAGGCAATGTTTTTGTCCCCTGCAAGCAACTCTTAGAAGTATTATTTATTATAGTTTTATCAATATCAATGTGTATCTTTTATTAGCAATGTTTTTGTCCCCTGCAAGCAACTCTTAGAAGTATTATTTATTATAGTTTTATCAATATCAATGTGTATCTTTTATTAGGTCCTATCTATTAAGCCTACACAATCATACACACACACACACACATCCTGGCATATAACACGCTAAAGGAAAACTTTATTAAGTATGTAGACTATTCTTCCTTTCAAGGTAAATATTCAAATATTACTACTGTCTAGTAATGAAGGATATAGGATATATCCTTCAGGATATAGTTTAGGTTTAATTGCTTAAGTGGTGGTAGATAAATTTTTTTCTTTACTTCTCATCTTTCTTCTCATGTGGAGGCTGACCCACTAATTCTGACACTCAGCCTCTCACACCCCTCAGGTACTTCTTTCACTAGTCCGGTGCAATTCAAAGGAGAAATTTAACAAGTAGAATTCAATGCCTTCTACTCTTGGAAGTGAACCTGCCTTCACTTTTCCTTTGAAACTGCTGGTGGGGAGGCCTGCCCTCTCCAGTCTTGCCTGTGACTAGGCCCTTGAATCTGACTCATTCTGGGATTCAGTTCTAAAAAGCCCGTTTGCCCACAGATAAAGCCACATTCTTTCTTTACAAGCCTCTATCAGTAAGAAAGATGATATATTGGCTCTCTTATGCCTTATTTCTTTGTCTTATTTCTCAGTTGGTTTAGAACTCAGTGGGGAAGAGAGGTCCTATCTATTAAGCCTACACAATCATACACACACACACACATCCTGGCATATAACACGCTAAAGGAAAACTTTATTAAGTATGTAGACTATTCTTCCTTTCAAGGTAAATATTCAAACTTCTCTAAATTTTTTAGAATGTATCCTCTTTTTTTAACTACTAGGTACTTCCTTTTTACCAAGCATAAGCAGTTTATGCCCAGAAATAGAATGGGCTTTGTGGTCTGGGGAGAAGGTGCTTTTTCTACCTTCATGTATCCTGCCTGGCTTCCTGCTTTGCTTTGTCATTTGTTCTGCAGCTGTGTTAGAGTGAAGCTGAATAAACAGCCAATAAAAGTAGCCAAGGATTAACATATCCATGGAAATAGACTAATAGAAAAGAAAGGTAAATTTAGGAGAAAAATTTATACACAGAGATGGAATTTTTCACAGTGTGGAGGAGATGTTTATGAGGTTACAGTAACCTGAATCTGTGGATAGTCTATTTAAAAAATATAAGGTATTTCCCCCCAGAAGTTTTCTTGTATAGATTAAGGACATATTAACAAAACAGAATATAATGATATTTTTGAAATAAGAAGTAATTACTCTTATCTAGATTGAAAAATTGACCTAGAGGCTATGCCGGTTGTAACTGTGCCAAGTGTAATGTAGTCTTGTTCAACTTCGCAGTCGTTGCTCAATTTCAAGTTCTCATTACCTCTCACCCAGATGATTACAGTAACCTCCTAACTGGCCTCCAACTATTCATTCTTACTTCAAGTCATCATTCTCACAATTGTGACATCAATTTTTATTCAGTATTATTTTGTATTAGTTTCGGGTGTACAGCATAGAGTTTAGATAGTCATATACTTTACAAAGTGTTTGTGACACCAATTTTCACCACAGCTCTCTTCCTATCTCCTGCTTTTAAAATTATTAGTGGCTCACTGTTGCCACATGAAGGGCATTGTAGTAAGAAAATGGCCTTTGTTTATGTAGCTTTATTCTCATCATTCTGAGTTACCATTCAGTTTCTGCTTGTGATTGTTGAATGAAAAGTCTAAAGCCAGAAAATCTTAACAGAAATTCTTATTGATTCACACATGTACAAACTTTTCTTTAAAGGAAAAAAAAGTGTATTTTAAAATTTTTATTCAAATTTCTTTTTCTTTTAATATCATTTATATGTGTTTAATATAATTGGGTTGGTTCTTTGATTAGCTTTATATGTACTCTGCCTACATTAGCTGCTAGCAATTGGATATGTTCTCTCAGACATGCTGTACAGTCTACATAAATTAGGAAGAGAAAAATTATATTCCCAGTACTCTTGGCCATGAGAAAACATCACCAAGTACTTTTTCTTTTGTCTTCATTTATTTCTTAGGGTCCTGTTTTTACTGTTTCATTTTCAAAAGGTGGAGAGCTGTTTTCATCAGGAGGTGCAGATGCACAGGTTTGTAAGTTCCCTCTGATTCATTTAGGGGAAGGAATCCAAGACCTCAGCAGAGATTTTTACAACCAGGTAGTTTGTATCTGTTAAGATGAGTCTTAATGAGTTTATATTTTAACTTAATGCCAGGAAGTCTGTTATTTCCTACCGGAATTGTGCCAGTTCTGATAATTTTTGGAACTCAAACAGCAGTTACTTCCTTTGTTCGTCTTTACACTTAAATATACATGTAACTGACACTGTATGTCCAGTATTGGTGTGGCACTTTCACTTGAATTGTTGCCTAGTATTTTTTATGTCTTATGCTTCAAATGTTAAGGTTCCCAAGGATGGTAAATGTGAACTGTTTATGCAGCAATTTTTCATTTACTTGAAATAGCCAAAAGTCATTCATAACCAGATTTATTCCAGGTAGAAAACATGGTTTTGGGCTTTGGGGGGAAAAGGGGATTTTAAGGTAATAAGTTATTTTCTTAATATGACTTTTAAACTGGACATGAAGGCAATTCAAAAGACTAAATCTCTCCTTTCAACCCTTAAAAAAGTATTGAGGCATAGTAATGTTGAAATATATATCTAATCTTCCTATTTTGAAGGATAATTCTATATATTCGTCTTTTAAAAAGTTCTATTGTTTGTATATGCAAGTCAGTGATTGTCAATGTGATTAATTTTTAACAGGTTTTATTATGGAGGACCAACTTTGATGAACTGAATTGCAAAGATGTTATTAAAAGAAATCTCAAAAGATTACATCTTGATTCACCACCACATCTTTTAGACATCCATCCAAGAATACCACATTCCCATGAGGAAAAAATTGAGACTGTTGAAGTGAGTACTTTGTACACAGCTGTCCTACTATTTGTAAGTGTACATTTTGGGGCTACTGGTCAACTAGATGATTGAAATTATACTTAATTATATAAAACCTAGTTGTGCCTTAAAACAGTAGCACTTTGAGAAATAATTATTTTCACTAATGAAACTTTAACTATGGTAGTGTGTTATAGTTATAAAGCCTGTCATATTTGCTTCTTGAGGCTTAGAAAAAAATTGTGTTAATAGTAATGGAATTGAGGAGAGATTTAAGGTCTTTGGTGACTGTGAAGTCTGAGCAAGCCTCAGACTCTGATGTGTTTAGGAAGTACTGAATTTTTCAGACTGTAAGACGCATCGAGGTTTTAGAGGAGGAAAATAGGAAAAAAAAATTTTGAAGCAAAAAGTGTGGTAAAATATTTAATAACATAAATAACATAGGCTGCTGCGTCCTCCCCCCTTCACAGGGAGCCAAGTAAGCTACATTTGGACTATAAGATGCGCCCCCCTTTTCCTCCCAAATTTGGTGGGGTGCGTCTTATAGTTCGAAAAATGCTGTGAGTTCATGTGATGGCTGTCATGGAACCAGGGCTGAAGGGAAAGCACTTTTATAAGTTCCTGAAATGAGGGTTTTGGAATCCTTTAATAGCAAAGAAGAAAATCTTACGGACAACAAAAAGAAGAGATTTGAGCATTAAACCTAGTAAGAGATCATTTTACTTTTTGCTTACATATATTTTGAAGTATATAATTATCTGTTTAATGGTAGGCTTTTGTTGATAATTTCTTTAGGTCCTATAGATTTAAATGTTCTACTCTCTTCAAAAAAAAAAAAACAACTTTGCCGCATACTTTGCATTTTACATGACTCTCCTTAATCCCTCTCCTCTTTCAAGAGTTAATGTGAAATTATTTCCTCCAGGCTCATCTGAGTATTTTTAACCATGGACAGAGCCTTTCTTTCCTTGTAGAGAAGGTATTTTGAGTCCTTAAGACTTACTCCTGAGGGGCAGTGCACAGCTATGCTCCCATGCCCCTTCCGCCATCTCTGTGTGGGCCCCACACCGACCCCAGCGTGGTAGTTTCTGTAATGTCGGTTTCCTCAGACTCGGTCTTTCTGTGATCTCAGCTGTTTCTGTTAGTCTCAGGTTGTGTGTGTGTGTGTGTGTGTGTGTGTAAGTGTGTAAGTGTGTAAGTTTAAGTTTTTAAAACTTTTAAGTTTTGTTGGACTATTTCATATATTTTGTTTAATCTAGCCACATTTTGGGATTTCTAGTCTAGTTTTTCTTTGGTAATGTTTATTTTCAGTTCTTTGCCATAAATTTGGTTCTTTAGAACTTTGACCATCTTTCCAGTTCTTCTCAATAAAGCATTTACCATTATGCTTTACTACTTCCTTCATTCTCCTTATATCATTTCCACCCCCTGCTTATTTCTTTGAAAAAATAAAGAATGTAAAGTAATTTGTTTGTGGTTCATGATATATGTTTCATTTTATACAATGATAGGTGTACTTTTTGATCACATATATGTGAACTACATTTTGAGTTTCCTTTCCTTGTTGAGCCCCAAGCTGGTTTTACCAACTCTCTCGGTGTTTTTCATTCTAGCGTTACTGTGGGGCGGCCAAGCTTAACCATCAGTGCTGTTGCTGCCCCGCTGTCTGCTCAGCCACCTTCCCACAGGGACAGGAGGCTGAGCTGCAGTTCAGGCCGTTTTCTCTGTGGCTTTCTGTCAGCCCCAGCCCATTTAAGAGTGCTGAACTTTCTTTAAAACATCAACAAGTTGTCCAAGTAGCTCTGTTCTGACCGCAGCCAGAAAGCAGTGAGCTGGAGCTACTTTGTGTGGCGGTGTCAGGGTGACCCAGGCCATGTGAAGTGCATTCACAACTGTATTTTCCCACATATCCTTAAAAAAACCTGTTAAAAACGGACTTTGCGTCTTGGAATTAGAGTTCAATTACACTGCTCAGAATGTTGAGCATTGTGACTGCATTAAGTTTGTGGCCTTAAGAAAGTCATCCTGAGTGTACCTAGTTTAAATTACCTGTAAGCACTGCTGGTTGCTTAAAATAAGTACACAGTGTGGCACATTTGTAAAATACCTTCATATCCTTTAATATAAAATTCCAGAGAAGTAGGATTCTGCATATGAACAATCAATTTTTAATTTTTTTTTCTTAACAATTTCTCATAATAAAGTAAGTTTTCTGGACAAAGAACATATTTGATATTATTATAAATAATTATTAACTATCAAATTATTTTTTAAAACTTCAAATATCACCCAGAATATAATATTATAAGTCAGATTAATTCTTGTACTGTGTATTCATTTAGATTAAGTAAATTTTACTTTGAAATACTAAATTTTGTAAATTGAATTATTTTTCAAAGCTTTAGGCAAAATCACCTTACATATGTTACTTTGGAAATGTTTGAAAATTACCAAAAAATTATTTTGAAGTTGGAATTCATGATTAAAAGAACAGAAATGTATTATGAGAGGATGTGGAATAAATGGTATCTGTGACCTAGTTAATTTTACTAACTTTCTCTTTTTGTAGTAACCATGAGTGTTTCATTTCTGAGTTTGAAGCAACATAGCATTTCCGTGACTTGCATTTTATTGTGTTTTCTGTGAAGCTCATTCAAATTGTGTAATTTCAGTCTTCTGGGTGAGATTGGCCTTTTGCAAAAGCCTTAAGTGCTTCACTTGTTTGAAGGTGGGAGATCCTGCAGAGCCTTAGACCTGGGGCACCAGCTGACTAAATGTGTAAATGACTCCTTCCCACATGGGCAGACAGGGTGACAGCAGGTTGCTTTCACAACAGATGACAGAAGGAAAAAGGTACGAAGCAGAAAATCCTTCCCCAGCTGTGTGAAAGAGACCCCTCCTGTGTCCTTTTGATCGATGTAACTGCAGATCCCTGTGGCACTCCTGGCCTCCGCATGCCATCTTCACTAAAAACATCAGAACAACTTCTTTCTCTCTTTTTTTTTTTTTTTGGTGGGAAAGAAGCATAATTTCTAAATAATTGTCTTGGCCCTCCCCACAATGTGCTGTGGCACATCACTAGGTCACGCTGACTTTACCTTCAGACTTTTGTGAGCTGAACTGCACTGCCCTGCCCCAAACAAAAGCAAACCTCCATCTTGGAGAAGAGGCTTGATTGTGAGTATGGGGCACTTTATCCTGAGCAGCCCCCAACTCGTGTGTGTTTTGATAGGAGGACAATAGAGTCATTCTGGGGGATGGTGCTAGATCTTGGTGACAGCAAGGCATCAAAGTAGTTATTTCAGGGGAATAGAAGAACATTGTAGGAAGGGATCATGGTTAATTAGTTTAAAAGAATTCAATAATAAAATAATTGCTCTAATGGCTTTTAATTTTAAAATGGCTATTTAAGATCATCTTAACCTATAAATTGGATAGGAAATTCTGTATGATATTTACTAAGAAGGAAAATTTCTTTTAACTTAACCAAATATTTGTATAATAATCTGGCCATGACTCATTGAAAACTATAAGTGACCAATATAAGTCTTCAAGTCTGAGATTGGGTTTTATCTCAATCTTCTATAAAGATTGAAAACATTATAGTTTATGATAAAAAATGACCACTTATCTACCAGTTTTGTATTTTAGTTCTGGCTGTGGTATATGACTATACTATTTTGGGCCTCAGTATTTGTTCTTCAGAGTTTACATGGTGATAATAGTACTAATAATACTGTCTAACACATACAACATTATTTTAATTACTTTACATAACGTCATTTGATCTTTCTAAAAACTCTGTGAGGTAGTACCACTTTTATCCCATGAGAAACTGAGTCACCTGCTGTTAAATCATAAAGCTAATAAGTGGGAACAGCAGAATTTCATCCCAGGCACTCTGGTTCTATTCTGTACTTTTAACCATTTTGATGTAATGCCTCAGTGTAATCAAAATTAAATTTCATCCTGTTACCATATTAAGTACCTAAGTGCTAGACATTGCACTAGCTTTAGGGTATGTAACAGAACAAAATGGGCACATTCCTTGCTCTTCAGAATTTGTTAGTAACAATGTTTGTGTTCATGGACTCCTAAATGTGTTGGATACAGAGAACCTCAGAGCAGGGTGGTTCCTGTGAGGTCATACAGACTAACCTCTCCCTCATGCGTGAATCCCTCGATTATACGCCCTCTTCAGGGACGGAGAACTCAGCCTCTCATAAGGCAGCCCACTTCACTTTGAGGCAACTAATTATTAAAGATTTCTTCCCTTTAATAAGAACGGGAAGCTAGCAGGTACTATTAGTATTTCTGGAAGTTAGCCAGCAAAGAACTTAACTATGTCACTCCTGCCCCCATCCCCAGCATATTTTCTTTATGGAGAAGCTGTAAACTTTTACTCGGTAAGAATGTCCTGCTCTCTTTAATGTATGTAAGAGCAGCTTGTTTCAAAACACATACTAGTGTTGTGGGTTCTGTCCCAGGTTGGGGCACATACAAGAGGCAACTGACAAATGTTTCTCACCCTTGCTTTCTCCCACCCTTTCCTTCTCTCTAAAACTAAATAAATAAAATCTTTAAAAAGATTAAAAAAATGAACAGTAAAATGACAACAAACTCACAACTATCAACAACCAAACTTAAAAAAAATCTAAGCAAACAAGTAGAACAGGAACAGATTCATAGAAATAGAGATCACATGGAAGGTCATCAGTGGGAAGGGGGAAGGGGGAGAGAGGGGGGAAAGGTACAGAGAATAAGAAGCATAATTGGTAGGTAGAAAATAGACTCGGGGTGGGGGAGGTTAAGAATAGTATGGGAAATGGAGAAGCCAAAGAAATTATATGTACAATGCATGGATATGAACTAAGGTAGGAGAATGTAGGTGGGAGGGGGTACAGAGCAGAGGGGAATAAAAGGAAGAAAAAAAATGGGACAACTGTAATAGCATAATCAACAAAATATATATATTTTAAAAAGTACTGTTATAGCAACAGTTTCCCAAGTTATAGAAGCTCAAGAATTTTTCAGTGAGAGATGCTGAGCATATATTTCCATGTTACTTAGATTTTTGAGCAGTTCCAATTTCAGGTGGTAAAACCAGATGGTATTTTTCACAGGTTAACAATTTCATATCTACACTAGGTGGCAGTAGATAAAAGAGAATAAAATGTTTGCAAGCGACCTCTTTGGGCAGCTAGTCTGAGATTGAAAGGAAAGTTGTAATCCTCAGGATTCTTTGCTTTGTCTCTGGCCTCACAGCTCATAGGATGGGGCTGTGTGTTCCACTCGGTGGAACAGCCAGAAAGGAACACAGGTGTTGACAGGCTGAGAGGATAGCGCCCCCCTCCCCTTTTCACCCTGCAGGTTCTAATCTCTTCTTTACTGTAGCCTGGGGTTTACTGGGCACGTATACTTCTGCCCCTAACACAGTTTGGCTGGATAATTATAAAAGCTTCTTCTTATTTCCACAACTACAGCTATGCCCATCAAGCATGATAGGTGCTTTTAAAATCGTTCCACTCCCCTAACGTCAGGCTCAGCCTTTATCCCTACAGCCCAGGGCTGATACAGTCCTGCTCTCAGTGGTATCCCTGCCTTATTCTTGATACTCTACGTGTCTCTGTCCTCTCTGATCATCTGTCAAAAACATGTGTTAGCCCCCAGTTTTTCTGTGCCTTCCCAAATCCCTTTACACTTCACAGTTTGACCCTTGCCAACCTCCCTTTTGCTACCCCATGCAAGTTGTGTCAGCATTCACCTCTCTGCTCAGAATGCTTTTTACCTCATCTCCAAGTCTTGCTTTTGTTTGTTTTTGAAACCTTCTTTAAAAGCCATCTTAAGTTCTGTTTCCTCCACAGGAAGCCTTTCTCCCTAGATACTTGGTCAACATTTTCTTCCTTGCGGTTCTTCAGTGCACTTACTGTTGGTGTCATTCATTTCATACAAGTTCTGCTGTCTTTTTGCCCTTTGCTCACTTCTTTGTATTCACAGTGTTTAGTAAATATTTGGTGATGATGTGGTTTATTCTTTTTATTTGTCTTCTTGAATTCAGAAATAGCCTCCCAGAAGTAGTTGCCATTCTAGTTAATTATTCCTTTGCCTTTAAAAAAAAATTTACTATATATGGCCCTGGCTGGTGTGGCTCAGTGGGTTGACCACTGGCCTGCGAACTAAAGTGTTGTTGGTTTGATTCCCAGGTAGGGCACATGCTTGGGTTGCTGGCCAGACCCCCAGTAGGGGGTGTGCAGGAAGCAACCACACATTGATGTTTCATTCCCCCTTTCTCCCTCCCTTCCTCTCTCTCTAAAAATAAATAAATAAAATCTTTTAAAAATTTTACTATATATGTTTGAATCTATAATTAGGTATTATTTAGTTTTTGATGGCTTTAAATTGTATATAAATGAAACCATACTGAATATATCTTTCTGTAACTGGCCTTTTCATTTAACATTAAAGTTCTGAGATTCATATATATGCACTCTGAAATCATGCATTCATATGTTGTTGCACAAAGTTGTATTTCATTCTTTTCACTGTCGAATGGGATTCCAGTGAATTTACCACAGCAGTAACTCCTATGCTGTATGTATCCACCCTACTGTTGATAAATATTTGAGGAGTTCTGGTTGTGAGTTTTATTTATTTATTTAGCCATTACAAACAATGCTGATATAAACAATGTTGGCATCATTGAGCTTTCTAGTTTTTGCAATTTAATATGTACGAAGTGGTATTTTGCTCTAATCTTTTCTAATTACTAATGTTTTGAAAATCTCTTTATATGCTGATTAACTGTCAGGTTCTCTACAACTTTTTTCTTGGAATTTCTTTTTCACATTGATTTGTAGGGTTTTCTTGTGCATTTAGATATCTGTCCTCCTTTTTTAGTTTTAGATATCACACTTCCTCCTTCTATTCCATTATCTGATCATTAACTTTGTGGTGTTCATTGTTAAGTAGAAATTCTTATTTTGATACAATCAAATGCATGTTTCCTTATGGTTTTGCTTTTGAAGCTTTTGTTTAAGATGTCCTCAAACCTTGGTCACAAAGATGTTTTTATACATTTATCTTTATTAACTTTATAATTTTTACTTAATATTTAGGTTTTTAGTTTGTCTGCTCTCCACCTTTGAATGCAGAATATTAGTCAGGGATCCATAGAGTGGTTCAGTTTTCTCAACTATGAATAAACCATCTTTACTTTTCCTTCATTTGAGGTACTATTTTCCCTTTATATTTATTTCCCACATATATACAGGGCTCTGCATCTAAGCTCCTTATGTTACAGGTTTTTATTTAGTGTCTTTACATGAGTTTTGCTATTTTGTCCTGTACAGGTCCTACCCATTCTTGTATTCTGAGGCATTTAAGTTTTTTATGGTATTGTAAATGATAGGTTTTTTAAATTTACATTTCTAACTGTCTTGAAGTACAGACATATTCAACTGATTTTGTATTTTGAGTTTCAACTTAGTAAACTCTTATTAGCTAGCTCCAATGATGTAGCACTGGACACTTTGAGGGTTTTTCTGTAGAAAGTTATCTTATATGTAATGACAATTTCATTTCTTTTGTTCCAATCCTTATATCTTAATACCTTTTTTTTTCCTGTGTTAATAACTGGCTAGGACTTTTTCCTGCATCTTTTGAGGTGGGTCATTTTATTTTGTTTTTAAAATCCCCTTATAGGTGAATTATATTGATTTGCTAATGTAAAACTTTTTATTTCCAAAATAAATTTAACTTGGTCTTATACTTTGATAGATTTGGTAGGCTAATTTTGTTTAAAACTTTAACATTCATGTTATATACCAATATATTTTAACTTTAGAATATATTAGAAAATATCCTCTAAGTTTTACAAATGGCATCCAGCTTCTTATGGTATGAAGATCTAATACTAATTTTCCTCATGTATATATACAGATTAATCCAAAACTGGAGGTAATGGACCTGCAGACCTCTACGCCCCCTGTTGTGGACGTCCTTTCTTTTGATTCTACCACAGTAAGTTTTCTTTGACATTTAAGCGCCATTTAATTTTCATTCACAATCCGTTTTCCTTAAAAAGTGTGTGGGACACGAAGTCAAAAGTGAGCTAAATAGCCTAACATTTTTGTGTAGAAAAAACCTTATACAAGGTCGTATTTACAATGTGGCTAAATAGTCGCAAGGGGAAGCAGCACAATTTCCAGACAAGCCTTCACTTTGAGGACCTGGAGCTCAGTCTAATCCACACTCACTGTTTCTTCTCCTCTCAGTGCCACCCAGGTGACATCTCACTTGTTGTCACAGAACAGATTTTCTTCTTCATTGCCTGTTGATTGCCTGTTAGAGGTGTTAAACGTACTTGTGGTCTTCTCCTTAAAAGCAGTTGTTTCCCTTTGTTAATCCCTCCTGGTGGATTATGCAGGCATTCAGAAATATTTCTAATATTTGCAATTTTGTTTGTACAAATTCCATACAGGTAATTTATTTACTCAGCATATCCAGTATTCTTCAAAAATTGAGAGCACTCAGCCTTTCGATTTGAATTCATTAACCTTTGCAAGACAGGTCATTGTTGCCCTCTGTCCTGCTAGTCAGTCCTAGGACAAATGAGAGGAATACGTGGTCTGCGGTGACACTGCTGTGACGTTGTCACTACAGAAAGGCATGCTGCTTAAGTTCACAAATTGTGGAGAGTCAGGTTTGGCCCTTCTAGTGAGAGGAGCAAAAACTAGTTGTGCTGCCTTCTTAGGAGGTAGGTTAAAATTGGGTGTTCCTGACCTTGGAGATACCACACATCTTCAGACACCTTGGGTCCACACTTTGAGACTCACTCTTCCTGCCCAACACCTTCAAGCTTTGCAAAGCTTCATGACCCGAGGAGTCCAGATGTTCTCTCCACAGAGTGTATGCTGTGGAGGTTGCTAACTGTCACCTAGCCATTGATAGCAGGGTGTCCAGCCTTAGATGGTAATCCAGAGGTGCCAGAGTCAGCTAGTCTATGTTATAGCAAGCTAACTCAGGAATATAGTGTATGTGCGACTTCTAGAGGACAATTCTGTATAATAAACTTATGACAGGTTTGCAGTTATGATATGAAACAGAATAATAAGACTGAAGAGCATAATTATTATCCATATAAGGATAATATTAAGTTAAATTTTATAAAATTGCCATTTTGTAGGTAAAATGGTCTAATATCAGGATTTCCCATGGTTCAACCCAGTACATAAGCATTAAAAGGAAGACTTCACTGTTACATAGAATTGTGTGCTTGATCTACATAAAAAAAACAAAACAAAACAAGAAAGCACAGGAAGACAAAAACTTGTTTGCTATAAACTAGTTTGGGACTAGGCTTATGAAGTCCTATCTAAGTAGATTCTTTTATAACCTGGAAGATCACTGCCTCCAGACAAGGTATGAAGACTCTTGGTTTTAGATATTTTACTAGGGCATTTTCTGAAGGAGTAGATTCTCATAAAGCATTTAGACTTTTATAAAGATTCTTTTTAGAATTCCAGTCAAGATGGAGGCATAGGTAAACACAGCTCACCTCCTCGCACAACCACATTGAAACTACAACTAAACTATAAGACAACCATCACTTAGAACAGTCAGAAATCGAGTTGAATGGAAGTCTGACAGAATTAGAGAGACCACATCCATCCAGACTGGTAAGAGGGACAGAGATGCAGAACTGGCTGGTCCGACATTTATGATAAAAATTTGGGAGGGATATCTTGGGAATGAGGAGTCAGCCCAACACCAGGCCCCACAGCCCAGGGTTCCAGTGTCAGGATGAAAAGTTCCCATAACTTTTTGCTGCAAAAACCAGCTGGGATTGAGTCAGTAGAAGAAACTTCTGTAGTCCCAAGCAGTTTCTTTTAAAAAACCCACACACAGATTTACTCAGACTCACTGCCTCTGAGCTCCAGCACCAGGGTAGCAGCTTGAAAGTCACCAGTGGCATACAGGAAGAACTGAAGTGTCTGGCATCAAGGAGAGAAATGGGGGGCAGCTCTCTCCCAGACAGAAAAGCAGGCAGAGGCCTTTGTCCCTTTTCTGAACCCTCCTCCCACAGAGCCACAGAATTGGCAGGCAGGTGCCATATCTGAGACTCCATCAACCTGGCTAAAAATGTTTGCCCAGCCTTGGAGATCACCTAAGGCCCCATCCCACCCAACTTACAGATCAACCCAAGTTGTTAACAATGGCTTTTTTATATGAATGGCTGGTCCTGGCTCATGCTTCACATCTTCCTCAATTCTCTCAAATAAGCAACAGCTGCCTCGGTGAACCCCCAACCCTTGTACCTCTTGCTAAGTGGCCCAAAGCCTGGCACTAAAAGCAGCCAGCTTAAGTTCACAGCTTGTTTTCACCTGGGAACCTCCAAGCCCAGTACAAGTAGCAGCCGTCTCAGATTGCTTTATAGTTCATGCAGTGTGGCCCTAGATAGAACACTGGTGGGGGCTGACCTTGGCCTGCAACACCCAGGAAACTTCAGTGGTGCATACCCAGTGCACAGCCACAGACCACGTCAGAGCACCACCACCCTTCCCCTGCACAGCTGATTCTCCACAGAAGGTGGAAGCTGGTGGTAAGTGGTCACAGCCAATCTTTGCAACTTACTGGCCTGGGTAAATCCCTCCCATTGACCTGCCAACAGCAACCAAGGCCCAACTACAAGAGGAAGGTGTATTCAGCCTACACAAAGGGCATGTTTCAAGTGTCCAGCTTGGGTGATATACTATATATACTACAGGACACCTACTACATTAGGCCACGTTACCCATATAGGAAGTCATAGCAGCTCTCCTAATACATACAAACAAACACAGGGAGGATGCCAAAATGAAGAGACAAAGAAACATGGCCCAAATGAAAGAACACATCAAAACTCCAGGTAAAGAGCTAAATGAAATGGGGATAAGCAATCTATCAGATTCAGAGTTCAAAACACTATTTATAAGGATGCTCAAGGAACTTAGGGAGGATCTCAGCAGCATAAAAAAGACCTAGTCAGAAATGAAGGATACACTAATTAAAATAAAGAACAATTTACATGGAAACAACAGTAGAGTGGATGAAGCTGAGAATCAAATCAATGACATGGAACATAAGGAAACAAAAAACAATCATGCTGAACAAGAAGAAAAAAGAATCGAAAAAAATGAAGATAGTATAAACAGCCTCTGGGACAACTTTAAGAGGTCCAACATTTACATCATAGGGGTGCCAGAAGGAGAAGAGAAAGAGCAAGAGATTTGAAATCTATCTGGAAAAACAGTGAGAGAAAACTTGCCTAATTTGGTGAAGAAAATAGACATACAAGTCCAGGAAGCACAGAGAGTCCCAATTATGATGGGTGCAAAGAGACCCACTCCAAAACATGTCATTATTAAAAGGCCAAAGATTAAAGATAAAGAGACATTCTTAAAAGCAAGAGAAAAGAAGTTAGTTACTGAAAGGTTGCCAGATGGGAGGGGAGAGGGGGAGAGTGGGTGAAGAGGTGAGGGGATTTGTAAGAAGTACAGATAGGTTGTTACAGAATAGCCATGGGGATGTAAAGTACAGTATAGGAAATGGAGTAGCCAAAGAACTTGTACTCATGACCCATGGACATGAACAATATTGTGGGAATTGCCTGAGGGAGAGTGGGGCGCTGAGTCAGGGGGCAAAGGGGGGAAATCGGGACAACTATAATAAAATATAATTTCTTTACAAAAGAAATGTCAGGCCTGGCTGGCGTAGCTCAGTGGATTGAGCGCGGGCTGCGAACCAAAGTGTCGCAGGTTCGATTCCCAGTCAGGGTACATGCATGGGTTGCAGGCCATGACCTCCAGCAGTCTCACATTGATGATTTTCTCTCTCTCTCTCTCTCCCTCCCTTCCCTCTCTAAAAATAAATAAATAAAATCTTTAAAAGAAAAGAAAAGAAATGTCTTTAGCTCTGACCAGTATGGCTCAGTTAGTTGGAATCTCTCGCGAAACAAAAGGTTGCCAGTTCTGTTCCCAGTCAGGACACATGCCTGAGTTGTGGGTCCTGTCCCCAGGTTTTGGGTTGTGTCCCTGGTCAGGGTGCATGTAAGAGGCAACTTATTGATGTTTCTCTGTCACATCAATGTCACTGTCTCTTTCTCCCTAACTTCCTCTCTCTCTAAAAATAAATAAAATCTTAAATAGAAAAGAATAGATTTTGAGTGCTTTTAAGAGTTTTTTCTTTTATTTTTTATTTCTTGAAACTTTTTTTTCTTTTCCATCCCTCCCACCTTCTCCCCTTTGGCAACCATTAGGTTGTTCTCTATATCTGTGGGTAGGTTTCTGTTTTGTTTTGTTTATTCATTTATTTTGTGTCCTTTAGATTTCACATACAGGTGATACTATGAAGAGTATCTTTCTTTCTTCATCTGACTTATTTCACTTAGCATAATACCCTCTCAGTCCATCCATGTTGTCACAATGGCAAGATTTTATTCTTTTTCATTGCTGAATAATATTCGTGTGTGTGTGTGTGTGTGTGTATACCAAATCTTACTTATTAATTCATTTATTCATAGACATCTGCGTTGCTTTTATGTTTTGGCTGTTACCAGTAATGCTAGAGTAAACATAAAGGTACATTAGAGTTTTTGTTTCCTTTGGATAAATACCCAGACGTAAAACTGCTGAATCATATGGCAGCTCTACTTTTAGAATTTTGGGGAACCTCCATACTGTTTTCTACAGTGACCACACTAATTTCCAATCCCACAGGTTTCCCTTTTCTCCACATCCTTACCAGCACTTGCTATTTGTTGATTTAGTGATATTAGCCATTCTGACATGTATGGGGTGATATTTCATTGTGTCTTTAATTTGCATTTCCCTAATGATTAGTAATGTTGAGCATCTCTTCTTTGTCAATTGTTCATCTGTATCTCCTCTTGGGAGAAATGTTTTTCAGGTCCTCTGTCCATTTTAAAATTGGATTTATTTATTTACTTACTTATTATCTATTGGTGTTAAGTTGTATGAGTT